GGTCTTAAAGGGTTAAACAAAAAGCCATAAAAACCTAAATGACTGACTGCATGTGCTTGTGGAAACAGTGCATTGGTTGCCAGCATGGACTCACTTCTCTGCTAATACTTAATACTTAAGTAAACTCAAATAAATTCAACAGAATATGCAGAAAGAACCACTGCAAATCTAAAATATTCAATTTAATTTTAATTCAGTTCAATTTTATTTGTATAGTAAAAGCCTACAATAATAACTATGCAGTCGGGCCAGGCAGCACTTTTGTGTAATACCAATTTCTACCACATGTTGGCGCTTCAAGTCACTGTGAGCTTTATTTTGTAGGAATCAACACATTTTTATTTACAATATCAGAGGAAAAAGCAGCTGTTGGGGAAATGTTGCAGCACATTTCTAAACATATTTAACTACCAAAATGCCACCGAGTGATGAAAGCTCTGGTTCAGAGCTTCACAGAGTAATTACAAAATGTACTTTAAGACTATCGTGTCTTTAAGCCAGCTTTCTTCTTGATTGGCTGCCCTCATAAAGAGACGCTTTGACCAGAATGAGACCGTCGGGTCACAGAGCTGTGTGAGATCAGAGAGATGATGTCCTCTCTGCTGACATCACACAGAGTCGTTCAGATGACCCCGCCATCCATAATTCTGCACAGTGGAAAAAGCCACTCGCCACATCTGCCCTGACGGCCCCGCCCACAGGGGAACGCTCATTTCAGACCCATCCTTCCCATTTCTGTAGTAATGAAGAGCAAAGCTGAAACACTCGTTAAATTTTTCATAGCGCACGAGTTTTCCCTTTAACTGGATAGAAACCAAAAAAGAAGTCTCTAAAACGTTTTAATTATTTCGACTTCATGTTTTATTTATTCAGTAAGCTGTGCCTGTTTTATTTAAATGGGTCAGTTATTTCGAGGAACAACTGCTTTCAAACTCCACACAATTAACCCAGAGTTGTTTCTCTGAGAGATTAAACCCCAACACGAAGCAATAGAAATACTTTGTGCATTTACTGTTGAGTAGCACAAGTTTCCCTCTGCAACGGTTCAATACGTCAGTCCAGCACAGGTGGCTAATGATAGTGGACGGATAAATGTGCAGAACTGGAGACAGAAAACTGGGTAATAAATAATGCAACCTACATAATACTTAAACGGAGAGTAGCCAGAAAGGCTATTGCTTAAAAGGGATCAGCTTCAGATTTTAGTCCTCGTCTCAAGTGCATCAGTTTAGCTCTTTACCCTCGAAGGTCCCAGTCTTTTTAAGCTCACATTCATCTGTTTGGCTGCAAAGAGATCTCTCTCTTTGACAACACACAGAAAAATAGTGTGAAGCTGAGCAGGAAACAGCCGTGTGAAGCCTGACCTTTTATCTCACAGCGATTACTTGTACAAATGTCATTATTCGAACCTTTGGCCGTGTCTAATGAGCATCCACTGCTCGAACAAAGAGGAACATGTCCAGTTTAAATTGGGTAAGGAAGCCCAGCCCTCGAACAAAGGTCTAGCTGTAAGCTTCCAGAGCCACGGCTCTGCAAGCTTGCAGACTGTTAGCCCAGCTTCCCCATTTCAAGCATCAAATTGATCAAACTCCTAAATGTAACATGCTGACTGTGGGTGTTGTTGAAGGGTCTCCAGCATCCACTGAAATATCAGGCACAAGTGTCCTTCCCTCTTCATGTGAGGAAGAATCGGCGCAGTGTGCGAACTGCTAATGCGCTTTTGTAGTGGATTTGTTCCCAACATTAGTGGAATCTCCCCCACTGGTGATGGAGGTTGAAAAGACAAGGAGGTGGAGGACAGCAGCGTTTGATGTGTGACACACAGGAAGTCACTGCCGATTGATTGGCTCCCGTTAAAGCAGACGTTCCCCTCATAGCAGAGACGCCTCGTGTCTTAATGTAAAGCGTATCATCTGTTCAGTCCCTGGGAATCCATCCCTGCAGACTCCTGCTTGCTCTGCGTTTGAAAGACAGATGAAAGACCAATTTGATTTTTTTTTCTTCCCCTTTCAAAAGCAAGAAAATCTCTGGCAACAAAAGTGGAAAGGAATAGCAGCAGATTGAAATAATGAGGCTTTTAGAGGACTTCAGTAGCTTCACATGAGTCGCATTTCTCTCTCATCTTTCACCTTCGTTGCCCTGCAGAGAACACAGGAAGGAGGGAAACATCTTAACTCTTCACGCCCCGGCTGAAGTCAGTTTTCTACGTCTCTGCTCTTAAATTAGCAGAAGACGACCCTTTTAAATATCCAGTAGATATTAAACTGCCACAGAATAATAATTAGAGTGGTTGTTTCTGGACCCCCCCCCTTCCCTTCGGCGGCGCTTTGCTAATTTGCAGTGACATCTCCGTGGCTCAGCAGCCCCTGGGCTGCAGGCAGAGGCACGGTCATGATGGGGAAAATGGAAGCCACTGGGCATTCTTTACTGGAACTATCAACCCCCGCACACACTCGCAGCTCCGCCACTTTCCCGCTGCCATTTTTCTCTCATCACACGCTCCTTCATCTCTGCAGCTCTGCTCCACTCAGCACTCAGCAGTAGAAAGCAATCCTCTGCTATCTGAGAAAAGTGGACCTTTTTCGTGCCTCTTAATGGACTCCCAGCGGTTGACAGGCCGTGCATGCGGCTATATTAACGCGGCTGGACGAGCACGTTCGAACATGTACCCTAATGTGCATGGCAGAGATTCTCCTGAGACAAGTTTCTTTGAGAGGTCTTTATCATGAAATACATTTGAGTTTAATATTGCTGACAGTGACTGTTTCGTATACTTGGAGGCTTATGAGCGGTTCTGTGGGTAGATTACTGCAAGGCATCAGATCCTTGTGAAACAAAGAGCTGTGTTCAGGTCTTTGGCACTAAGTCCTCCACATTTTCAGGGGATGTTTTCGTTGATTTGCAAAGCAGGAACCCCACAGTCGCACCCTTGCTTTTTGTAAATGATATAGTTTTGTTGGCTTTAACAGAAGGTGACCTTCTGTGGGGCTTTGCACCTGATTGTGGAGCAGCTGGGATGAGAGTCAGCATCTTCGAGCCTGAGTGTGGTGTGAGATGAACAGGCTGAGCAGTGCAGCATCAGCACTACATCCTATTTTTTCTGTTTTGAAATTTTCTGCAGTGTCCGTGTTACGTAACGCCATCTGTGTTTTGCTTTTATACGCAGGGTGTCTTTTGGCAGAAATAACGCTGTCGTATCAGATCGCTAGAAAGTCAGAGGTTGATGGTGATTGGTGGTCACTGAGTCAGCCAGGAGACCATCGTTTGTGCTTGTTGTTGTACTCATTGTTCTTTTATTGCTGTCACTCACTGGTTATGTTCTAGTTTGAATGATCTAACTGGACAAACAGCAGGTATATTTTCATTATCTTGACTCGTTTCTTCAAAGAGAAGATCAGGATTCTGGATTCAACTTTATTGTCCATAAACTGCATCTGTGCAGTCACCAGTTAGAGAATAATAGACATGTGACTGGTAAGAAAAACAGATAATCAAACAGGAACAGTCTCTGAAGAACCTCAGTTTCCAAAAGCCTTCTGTAGCACTCGGTGCTGATGTGGAGTGATGGTCTGCTGGAGTGTTGTGAACAGGTTGGTGTTTGGGTGGTGTGGAAATGTCAGAATACCTTGAGTGGTGGAAATGTGAAGCTGATGCATGTGTTGTGTGTTGCTCAGTGCACTAAATGTTCTGCCAATTGAACTGAAGCTGTTGTCTCAACGTGGATTTTGTTGCCCTTTCGTCTGTTTTTTTCATCCTCTCTTCATCTTCGTCTCCGTTTCTCTTCCTCCTCCTCTTCTCTTCCCCCTGTGCTGAGCAGGAGGCCTTTATAGCAGCTCTGCTCCCAGAAACAACCTATTCTGTGACTGTGGCTGCGTATACGACCAAGGGTGACGGAGCTCGCAGCAAGGCCAAGGTGGCCACCACCACAGGAGCAGGTGTGTGTGCTGCATACAAGTAATACAACAAATCTGAGGCCATATCTTGATCTTATTCCTGCTTGTTTTCTAATATGTCTCCATTTTTTTTACAGTCCTGCGTAGTCAGATTTTTTCTGTTTGTCTGATTTTGGCTCCATTTCACGTTTAGCTCGGGATCATCCTGAAAGAGCTTCTTAAACGCTTTTGCAGAGGCATCACGTGATAGTTTAAACAGCTGCATTCTTATAGAAAAGATCCTGAAATCTTGCTTTTTGTCACAGAAACAGTAAAATTTCTAAACTTCAGTCACAACTTTGGATGACTCAAACTGTTGCTTTTGAGTTTTCCTCAAAATGTGCTCTAGAATACTCGAGTCAACACAAGTCAACACTCATTACATCCCTGATAGAAGGGGCGGGGCAACACACAGAGGCATTTGCAGCATACTTGACTTAGGCTACGTTCAC